CAGCAAAGATGCAGTGGAGTCTGATTCTGCTCTTCCTGATGGGTAAGTTGATCTGAAACACAACTAGACTACGAGGAAACAGAGATACCTCTGAGTTATCACACAGAAATGTTAATGAAAGCTGTTGTAGAAATTATCCTCATTTAATACCAGCAAGTTTCAAGTCTTCAGCTCAGTGTTGCTTCATTGACTGTCATTAAAGTGAATAAAACCTGGACTGAAGCTCAGCAGTACTGCAGAGAGAAACACACTGACCTGATCACAGTGACTAACATGAAGGACATGAAGAGACTCATCAACATCTCAGCTGGAGATATGAAGGAAGCTTGGATTGGCAGGTCAGTCAACTAGAATTTATCAGAACATGGTACTGGTCTCTGCCTGGAGTGGAGTTTGATGAAAGTGAGACAAACTGGAAGGATTAAGAACCGACTGATAGAGGAATTCAAGGTTCTGAGAACTGTGGGGCTGTGTATCAAAATCTCACATGGCAAAATCAGGGCTGTCATTGGCCTGAATATTTCCTCTGCTATGATGGTGAGTACTGAGAAAACAACAAATTAAAATTTTACAACTTCTCTAATAAAAATGTCTGAAATATTTTGCAAAAAATTTAACCAGGGATTTTAGTTGAAAACAATAAATAAATAATCAGTTTGTGTTCATCTATGTGCAAGTGAACCCAATTATGTTAATCTGAAAACAAATTATAGATGAGGATCTGTTCACTCCACAGAAACTAATAAGACCTTTAAATATCACTTGATTAGAGAGTTTAAGTCCTGGCAGGAAGCTCAGAGTTACTGCAGAGAGAAACACACAGACCTGATCAGTGGAACGAAGCAGCTACAGGATGAAGAAGTGAAGAAGATGATGAACTCTTCAGACAGTAAATCATACTTTGGTCTGTTCAGAGACAACTGGCAGTGGTCAGATGGAAGCAGTTTCTCTTTCAGACACTGGAATAAAAACTTTGACAATCCAGAATCCATCATTGGTCAATGTGCCACGACTGTGTTTGATGATGGAGGCAGATGGCGGAATAAGAACTGTACTGAATGAAAACCCTTCATCTGTTATGATGGTGAGTTTTTGCTGCAGAATGTCTTTAAATGTAACTTAATTCCTAGGAAGAAAAAAGAGCCTTATTATAATGGCTATGTATTTCTGTCATATCTACCAAATCTATTAAAATAAAATTTTGACTTTTATTCCGTAAATCATATAGAAACTATTTTCTTTTAAATCTTTTAAATAGTTCTTGTTGTCAGGTTTGGCATAATGACACATGAAGCTGCTGTTGCAATTATTTAGTGTTTTTTTTCCCCTCTTTATGTAGATAAATTGATCCTGATCAAAGAAGCGGTGAACTGGGAGGACGCCTTGACCTACTGCAGAGATCACCACCATGACCTAGTCACCATCACCAACATGGGTGATCGGAGATGGATCCAGGAGAAAGTCAAGGAGGCATCGACTGATCATGTCTGGATTGGACTGAGCTTCACCTGCACTCTGGATTTGTGGTTCTGGGTCAGTGACGAGGTGGTCAGATATAATAACTGGGCCATGTCATGATCCATGTTTCTGTGTATTTATTTTTAGGGTTTTCTGTGTTCAGTTTCTGTCCTGTGAGTCTCTATTTCTGCGTCTTCCCCAAGAAATCAGCATGTTTCCAGTAAGCAAATTTACTTTTGTAATTTCAATTTGCTTAATTTTATTGTGAATGGAAAGTCAGTTCATGTCAATCTGTATATGGTTACAATGTGTGAGAAACCAGGAAGTGTCTTCTTCTCTCCAAACACTAAACTCCCAGGCAGATACTGATTCAACCCAAAGTTAAAACACATAAACAGTCATCACTGTCATCAGTTTGTTCTGTGAGCTGTCTGCAACATTTTTATTAGAGAGACAATCAGAAACTAAAACCATAATAATCAGTGGTTTTATACTCAACCTGCAGCAGAGCCTCACCAGTAACATCCTGACTGTTAAAGTTTCTCTGGAATATCAACCAGGTTCCCAGGATATGGAGGTTGGATCATTTTGTTTATATTTGTACTTCTTGGTTATAGTTTAATGTTTTCTTGCGAAAGATGTTTTGAATATTTAAATGATGAAATGGTAAAATTCAGCTGCTGTTTCTTTTACCTGGGACAGTTTCAGCAGAGCATCAAGAGGAGAGGAGAGGAGAGGAGAGGACAGCGTCTCATTCACTGAGGGGGAAAAGGAAACATGTAAGTTTTATATCATCATGTTAGTTTTACTGTTCTCACATTTATACAAAGATTTGTGTGAATGTTGGATTAAAAGCTTTATGATGTGAAAATGTGAAAATCACTTTCTTCTGCCATTTTGTGTTATGTTGAAATAATGTTATTCATTTTTTACTCCAGCATTATATTCTTTAAATTTCAATAATTTACACATAACTCTATATTGTTAGATTTGATGGTTTTTCACAAATTAAATTTGTTTCTTGAGTAGTTATTTCACCAAATACTCACTATTTCTTTTACTTTCGCTGAGCAACAATGTGAAAAACAATACTATTACATAAGAAAAACAACTTTTCGTTGTTCCACTTTGTATCCAATTTATGACTGGATACAAAGGCATAAACTTTGTATCCAGGCATAAGATACATGTGATATAAAGATATTAATAGTTATTTCTGTCAAATAGAGGAACTGTAATAAATATCTGTACTTTAGTTAATTTGTCTGTTCTGCTTGATCCTGATTATAGAAGTTATTTTTTTTCCCATTGTAAACTTTGCATAGATTATAAATGATTTCTTTCATAAGCAGAATGACTCCATCGTGCCTTACCCCACCCTTAGTTTGAATATCCAAATAATGATATTAAAATTTCAGTTCTATAACAGAGCTGTGTTAGTGGAGCTCTGCTTGTCATGAAAGGACATAAATAATCTACTGAGAAATTTAGACAAAACAAGACAGAAAGAAAAGGAAGCAGATGGAAATGATGACTGTCTGAGCTTAACTTTTGGTACATGACAAACTTCACTTTTATATGAATGTTAAGTCATGGTTGTGATTTGAGATTTCCTGTGTGTTTATTTTAGGTTTCTTTAGTTTTCTGTGTTCTGTGGAGTCTCTGTGTTGTCCTGTCAACCCCCTGATTGTTCCCTGGTGTCTCTCGTTCCCTTGAGTATTTAAACCCACCTGTGTTCTTGTCCTACTGTGCTGTCTAACAGTGTAATGTCTCGTCTGTGTCTTGTGATGTTCCTTCGTGTTTTCAGTACTACTAGTTTGTGAGCCTCAGCATTCTGCTTGACTACTGCCTGGTTTTTGGAACTTAGTTATGACCATTCATCATAAAATCATTTTTCTCCACTCCTACCTGGGTCTACGGCGCCTCCTTCACCACCTCTCACTACAGCCCATGAGAGTCATGTTTAATGTGTTTATTTTTATTTCTACTTAACAAAAAAGGCCGAGCAGAGTGTCTCCTGTCTGTCTTCATCTCTCTGCTCTCATTGTTTCTCTGTCCAGTGGAGGGAGAGCTGCAGCTTTTCACTGTTTAAATGTTCTTCATCCAACAGAGACAAACTGCTGGAGGAAAATAATTCATCTGACAGCAAAGATGCAGTGGAGTCTGATTCTGCTCTTCCTGATGGGTAAGTTGATCTGAAACATAAACTATGAAGAGAGATACCTCTTTACAATCAAGCAGAAACTTCAATAAAAGTTCTAGTCATATTATATTGAAACTTATAGCCCATATTGTGTTTTGATGAAATCATCCTAATTTAATTCCACCATTGTTTATGTCTCAGCTCAGTGTTGCTTCATGGACTGTCAGCTCTATCAGTTTCACTACATTAATGAGAATAAGAACTGGACTGAAGCTCAGCAGTACTGCAGAGAGAAACACACTGACCTGGTCACAGTGACTAACATGAAGGACATGAAGAGACTCATCAAGATCTCAGCAAGATATATGAAGGATGCTTGGATTGGTCTGATCAGTAAACCAGAATTTAACAGAACATGGTACTGGTCTCTGCCTGGAGTGAAGTTCAATGAAAGTGAGACAAACTGGAAACAAGGAGAACCATCTGATAGAGGAATTAAAGGTTCTGAGAACTGTGGGGCTATGTATCAAAATCAAAATCTCACATGGCAAGATCAGGGTTGTCATTGGTCTGAATATTTCCTCTGCTATGATGGTGAGTATTAAAGTAACACAGAATCTAAACTCAATAGATTGTCTAATAAAACTGTCTGGATAAAATATTTTACAAAAGAAGAAAATTAAAGTATCAATTTCACTAACAAGAAATGGGAATCACTACTTTCACATCATCCATCAATGAACCTGATTTTAAGTTTATCTTAAAAAATTAGAAATGGAGATTGACATGTGTCTGTTCACTCCACAGAGACTAATAGACCCAATAAATATCACTTGATTAAAGACAAGAAGTCCTGGCAGGAAGCTCAGATTTACTGCAGAGAGAAACACACAGACCTGATCAGTGGATTAAAGCAGCTACAGGATGAAGAAGTGAAGAAATTGATGAACACTTCAGACAGTAAATCATACTTTGGTCTGTTCAGAGACACCTGGAGGTGGTCAGATGGAAGCAATTCATCTTTCAGACACTGGAATAAAAACTTTAACAATCCAGAATCCATCAGTGATCAATGTGCCATGACTGTGTTTGATGATGGAGGCAGATGGAAGAATGTGAGCTGTGCTGAAAGAAAACCCTTCATCTGTTATGATGGTGAGTTTTTTCTGAAATAAGACGTCTTTAAATCTAAGTGAATATGTAGAAAGAAATAAAAGAGCTTTATTATACTGTTGAAGTCTTTCTGTCATATACTAAACCTATTAAAAAAGTCACATCATAAATTGCATAAGACATGTAGAAATATGAAACATTTCAGACCTTTTAAATTGTTCAAGGCTCTGTGTCTTGAGATAAATGAAGCTGTAGTTGCAATGATTTATTGTGTTTATTGCTTCTTGATGCAGATAATGTGATCCTGATTAAAGAAAATAAAACCTGGGAGGACGCCTTGACCTACTGCAGAGATCACCACCATGACCTGGTCACCATCACCAACATGGATGATCAGAAATGGATCCAGGAGAAAGTCAAGAACGCATCGACTGATTATGTCTGGATGGGTCTGCGTTACACCTGCACTCTGGATTTGTGGTTCTGGGTCAGTGATGAGGTGGTCAGATATAAGAACTGGGCCAAAGGTGAACCGATGGACGACTGTGACATGTCTGGAGCCATGGAGATGGGAGGAGAACATCAGTGGATGAAGAAAAATGACCTTGAGAGATTTAATTTCATTTGTTTTAAAATGTAAAATCCACTCTGCTTTTTCCTTTTTTTTTACCTTTAGGTTTGTGGTTCTTATTAAATCTTTTACTAAGTTTATTTTTCTGCTGGGAGAAAAGAAAATATTTGCTTTCATTGTCGCTGAGCTTTTTACATAAATCTTGGTGTTTTCTTTAGTTTTCTTCTGGTTTCAGTAACATACATGTGCCACATATTTATACTCCAGATGATTCTTTTTTTGTTCTGTGGACTGACTGAACTGAAACGAACTTCATTGTACTTTCTTTACCATGACAGTAATGTCTGATTCTGATTCCTATGATTTATACTTTTGCTTTTTATTTTTAGCTACTTTAATATTACATAATTATATGGTAACATGGCATTGGTCTTTAAGTTATTAATAATTTTGACATGTTCTTTCAGAATATTATTAGTTTTTTACCAGGAATCATCTTGCAATCAGAAGTTGTGCTTTGATTTCAGCTTCATTTATGCTGATGCTCCTCTGGGCAAATCACTTCACAAGTTACACTGATGTGTGTGTTGGTGTGTGAATGTTTCTCCAGTTATACTAATCTTTTTATATCCCATAAATCTCCTGTGCATACTTGACCATTTACTTTACACAAATGTCTTTCCAATGTTCCTTTTCTTCTGTAATTGTTTTTCTGTCACTTTTTATCTTCAGCTTAATTTTTTTAATCACAATAAATGACGAGTTTTAACTTTATGGTAATTTATTTTTTGATCATTTTCAACCTCTATGAAGCACTTTGTGTTTCATCAGACTGCATTCAATTAAAGTTTGACTTAATTTAATTCATTTATTTTTTTTTAAATTCCTATCATAAGCTTTTTATACACTTTCCACTTATAATGGAAACACAACCCATCAAAACCTTGTAATAATTGATGAGCAGCTTTTTAAATGTTTCTACTGATGATTTAAAGATTCATCTTTGGTATTTGTGGTTGGAACGTCTCCTTGTCATCACCCTAATCTTCAACTCCCTGCAAAGATTCTCTACGAAGTTGAAATCCTTACTGTTTCTGGGCCACCTCAAAATGTGAACATTGCTGCCAGTAAACAGAAACATGCTAAAATTAAGATTATAGAGCTGTAGTGGCCCAGGGGCAAAGCACAACCCACGTATTGAGGTCCTAGTCCTCATGGTGGTGGTCAAAGGTTCAATATCTGGCCTGGAAACATTTGCTGCATGTCTTCCCCTCTCTGATTGCCTTCTTTCCTGTTGAACTACTTTCAAATAAAGGCCACTAGAACCAACAAAACCTTTAAAGAAAAATCATATTTTTTGGATTGAACTGCCCGGATTGATTGAAATTTTTTTACTCATTTTTAGAGAAATGACAGAAGTAAAACTTGATCAGCAGATGGCAGAATGTTCTGGATAAACAGAAGATACAGTCTGGAAATGTTTCTATAAAACTATCAGGGCATCAGATCTTTTTATAAAATTCTTGACTGAGATGTCCAGTCAAGAATTTAGCAGGAATAACAGGTAAAGATTTAAAAAGTTTGCCAAGAGAGCTACAGTCATGAGAAATTATACTTTATTTTTCTCAAACTTTCCTAAACCATCACAAGAGCAAACAAAAATCAAAAAGTAAAAGTGAAAAATGAGTCAGCTTGGCTGTTTGTTTTTTCTTTTTTTGCCATGTTCTTGAAAAGATGCTAGAGCTTTACAGTGCTGAGCGCTTTGCAGAAATTTCCAGATGTCATCGCAGTATTGGGACACATTCATGTCAAATATGAGCCACTGTCTGGGAGGAAGTCAAACAGCTTGTGCTGCTTCTCAACGTGGACAAAACAAAGGAGATTTAGAGTACACTAAGAAAAACCACCTTGTTCAATTTACTTCATACAGTTATATCGATCATTTTCATGAGACTGAGTTATGATCAGTTTCAAATGACTATCAAGATGCCAGTAAGTGACTTGATAGCTTATTCATCCCCCTGATCTTTTCCATGTTTTGTCACAGTAAAATCACAAACGTTGATATTTTTCACTGGAATTTTATGATGAAGACCAAAACAAAGTGGTGTACAAATGTGAAGTGGACAAACAAAATTGTAGATGACTCAAAACATTTTTTTACAAATTGAAAAGTGCGGTGTGCAAAAGTGTTCAGCCTGCCTGAGTCAGTATTTTGTAGAACCACCTGTTGCTTCAAGTTTTTAGTGTTTCTACCATCTTTGCACGTCTAGTAACTGAAGTTTTTCTTCATTCTTCTTTGCTAAGCAGCTCAGGCTCAGTCAGATTAGAAGAAGAATATTTGTAAGCAAAACATTTCAGATTGTGCCACAGATTCTCGCTTGGGCTTAGGTTTGAACTTTGACTGGGCCGTTCTAACATGAATATGTTTTGTCTTAAACAGACTCAAAGCAGTTTGCTTTCATGATTGTCCTGTATTTGGCTCCATCCATCTTCCCATCAGCTCTGCTCATCTTCCCTGTCCCTGCTGAAGAGAAGCAACCCCAGAGCATGATGCTGCCACCACCATATTTGACAGTGGGAACGGTGTGTTCAGAGAGATGTCCACTGGTTTACATTTCGGCCAAAAAGTTCAGTTTGTTCTGGTTGTACAAAATCTCCTCCTTCCACGTGCTTGATGTGTCCAACATGGCCTCTGGCAAAGTGCAAAGGGACTCCTTATGTTTTTNATAAATATCACTTGATTAAAGAGAAGAAGACCTGGCAGGAAGCTCAGAGTTACTGCAGAGAGAATCACACAGACCTGATCAGTGGAACGAAGCAGCTACAGGATGAAGAAGTGAAGAAATTGATGAACTCTACAAGTGATTCCTCATACATTGGTCTGTTCAGAGACACCTGGAGGTGGTCAGATGGAAGCAATTCATCTTTCAGACACTGGAATAAAAACTTTAACAATCCAGAATCCATCAATGATCAATGTGCCATGACTGTGTTTGATGATGGAGGCAGATGGAAGAATGTGAGCTGTGATGAAAAAAAACCCTTCATCTGTTATGATGGTGAGTTTTTGGTGCAATAAGACAAAGTATTTAAACGTAACTGAATATGTAGGAAGAAAAAAAGAGCTTTATTATACTGTTGAAGTCTTTCTGTCATATAAATACTAAATCTATTTAAAAATTGTGACATCTACACATACATTTCATAAGACGTAGAAATATGAAACATTTCAGATCTTTTAAATTGTTCAAGGATCTGCATCTTGACATAAATGAAGCTGTAGTTGCAATGATATAGTGTTTTTATTGCTTCTAGATGCAGATAATGTGATCCTGATTAAAGAAAATAAAACCTGGGAGGACGCCTTGGCCTACTGCAGAGATCATCACCATGACCTGGTCACCATCACCAACATGGATGATCAGATATGGATCCAGGAGAAAGTCAAGAATGCATCGACTGATTATGTCTGGATGGGTCTGCGTTACACCTGCACTCTGGATTTGTGGTTCTGGGTCAGTGATGATGTGGTCAGCTATCCGAACTGGGCCTCAAATGAACCGATGGACGACTGTGACATGTCTGGAGCCATGGAGACGGGAGGAGAACATAAGTGGATGAAGAAAAATGACCTTGAGAATTTTAATTTCATTTGTTTTAAAACGTAAAATCCAATCTGCTTTTTCTCTTTTTACTTTTAGGTTTGTGGTTCTTATTAAGTCTTTTACTGGACATTTATTTTTCTGCTGGGAGAAAAGAAAATATTTTCTTTCATTGGCGCTGAGCTTTTTACATAAATCTTGATTTTATCTTTGGTTTTCTTGTGGGTTCAGGAACATGCATGTGGCACATATCATTTATATTCCAGATTATATATATTTTTTTGTTCTTTGGATTGACTCAACTGAAACGAACTTCACTGTGCTTCTTTTTACCATGACAATAATGTCTGATTCTGATTCTCATCATCTATACTTTTAGTTATTAAATTTTAGCTACTTTAATATTATCTAATTATATGGTAACATGGCATTGGTCTTTAACTTATTAATAATTTTGACATGTTCTTTCAGAATATTATTAGTTTTTTACCAGGAATCATCTTGCAATCAGAAGTTGTGCTTTGATTTCAGCTTCATTTATGCTGATGCTCCTCTGGGCAAATCACTTCACAAGTTACACTGATGTGTGTGTTGGTGTGTGAATGTTTCTCCAGTTATACTAATCTTTTTATATCCCATAAATCTCCTGTGCATACTTGACCATTTACTTTACACAAATGTCTTTCCAATGTTCCTTTTCTTCTGTAATTGTTTTTCTGTCACTTTTTATCTTCAGCTTAATTTTTTTAATCACAATAAATGACGAGTTTTAACTTTATGGTAATTTATTTTTTGATCATTTTCAACCTCTATGAAGCACTTTGTGTTTCATCAGACTGCATTCAGTTAAAGTTTGACTTAATTTAATTCATTTAATTTTTTTAATTCCTATCATAAGCTTTTTATACACTTTCCACTTATAATGGAAACACAACCCATCAAAACCTTGTAATAATTGATGAGCAGCTTTTTAAATGTTTCAACTGGTGATTTAATGATTCATCTTTGGTATCTGTGGTTGGAACGTCTCCTTGTCATCACCCTAATCTTCAACTCCCTGCAAAGATTCTCTATTAAATTGAAATCCTTACTGTTTCTGGGCCACCTCAGAATGTGAACATTGCTGCCGGTAAACAGAAACATGCTAAAATTAAAAGATTATTTTAAAGCTAAATCAAGCTATGAGTTAGAGTTAAAACAATATTTTTTCGTTTGAACTGCGTGGATTGATTGAAATTTTTTTTACTCAATTTTAGAGAAATGACAGAAGTAAAACTATCTAGAACAGTCTAGATAGACAGAAGATACAGACTTGATAAGTTTTTATAAAAACTTATCAAGTCAGCAGAATCAGATAAATATCCGTCCAGTCAAGAATTTAGCAGGGTAAAGAGGATTTAGAAAGTTTTCCAAGAGTGCTACAGTCATGAGAGAAATTAAACTTTATTTGTCTCAACTTTTCCTAAAATATCACAAGAGCAAACAAAAATTGAAACTTAAAAGTGAAATATTAGTCATCTTGGCTTTTTTTTTTGCCATGCTCTTGAAAAGATGCTGCAACAAGCGCTGAGCTGTGCTCCATTCAGAAATGTCCAGATGTCATTGCAGTATTGGGACACATTCATGGGAAATATGAGCCACTGTCTGGGAGGAAGTCAAAAGTCAAACAGAAACAATAAAAAGAAACACCCTTGTTCAATTTACTTCATACAGTTATATCCATCATTTTCATGAGATTGAGTTATGATCAGTTTCAAATGACATGTTTTGTCAGTAAATCCACAAAAATGAATGTTTCACTGGAATTTTACAATAAAGACCGACACAAAGTGGTGTACAAATGTGAAGTGGACAAAAAAAATTGTAGATAACTCAAAACATTTTCTACAAGTAACAAACTGAAAAGTGCGGTGTGCAAAGGTGTTCAACCTGCCTGGGTCAGTATTTTGTACAACCACCTTTTGCTTCGAGCTTTTAGTGTTTCTACCATCTTTGCACGTCTAGTGACTGAAGTTTTTCTTCATTCTTCTTTGCTAAGCAGCTCAGACTCAGTCAGATTAGAAGAAGAGTATTTGTAAGCAAAACGTTTCAGATCGTGCCACAGATTCTCGATTGGGCTTAGGTTTGAACTTTGACTGGGCCGTTCTAACACGAGTATGTTTTGTTTAAAACAGACTCAAAGCGGTTTGCTTCCATGATTGTCCTGTATTCGGCTCCATCCATACTTCCTGTTTATAGTTTAATGTTTTTTTGTGAAAGATGTTTTGAATATTTAAATGATGAAATGTTAAAATTCAGCTGCTGTTTCTTTTAGTTGGGACTGACCGGTGCAGCGCCCGCTTCACGGCAGATGCTGCACCCATCCGCCTGTCGGTCTTCTTCCTAAGGCACTCTACCTTTTTCCGGCTCAAGACCATGACCTCAGATTTGAGGCACTGATCCTCATCCCGGTCTCTTCACACTCGGCTGTGCGCTGCTCCAGTGAGAGCTGCAGATCACGATCCGATGAAGCCAACAGGACCACATCATCCGCAAAAAGCAGAGATGTGATCCTAAGGCCACCGAACGGATCCCCTCAACACCTTGGCTGCGCTTAGAAATTCTGTCCATAAAATTAATGAACAGAATCGGTGACAAACGGCAGCCTTGGTGGAATCCAACCCTCACCTGAAACGAGCCCGACTTATTGCCGGCAATGCAGACCAGAATCTGACAGGGACCTGACAGCCCGTATCAAATGGCCCGGTACCCCATACTCCCAGAGAACCCCCCACAAGGCCCCCTGAGAGACACGGTCGAACCCCTTCTGCTAGTCCACAAAACACATGTAGACTGGTTGGGTGAACTCCCATGCAACCTCCAGGACACTGGACCAGCTCAGGTTCAATAGCTGGTCCAGGTCCAGTTGAACCTGCTGAGGGTCCAGGTTCAACTGGACCCTCAGCAGGTTCAATAATAAAAAATTAAAATAATTATATTAATATTTATATTCTATAACAGAGCTGTGTTAGTGGAGCTCTGCTTGCCATGAAAGAACATAAATAATCTACTGAGAAAAGCTTTAGAGAAAACAAGACGGAAAGAAAAGGAAGCAGATGAAAATGACGACTGTGTCTGAACTTTGCTTTTGGTACATGACAAACTTCACCTTTAAATTAAAGTTAAGTCATGTTTAATGTGTTGTATATTTTTATTTTTAATTAAATAAAAAGGCCGAGCAGAGTGTCTCCTGTCTGTCTTCATCTCTCTGCTCTCATTGTTTCTCTGTCCAGTGGAGGGAGAGCTGCAGCTTTTCACTGTTTAAATGTTCTTCATCCAACAGAGACAAACTGCTGGAGGAAAATAATTCATCTGACAGCAAATATGCAGTGGAGTCTGATTCTGCTCTTCCTGATGGGTAAGTTGATCTGAAACACAACTAGACTCTCTGGTTTCTATTATGTTAAAGTCAGATTCAGAACACTGCTACTTAGTGAATAATCAACCAGGAAGTACAATTGTAACACACAAATTCAAATTGATAAATCATATTACTGTAAAAGATGTGTTGGTTAAACTGCCACTGCTCGTTCGTCTATACAGAAATGTGTTTACTGTCTACAGCTCAGTGTTGCTTCATGGACTGTCAGCTCTATCAGTTTCACTACATTAATGAGAATAAGAACTGGACTGAAGCTCAGCAGTACTGCATAAAGAATCACACTGACCTGGTCACAGTGACTAACATGAAGGACATGAAGAGACTCATCAACATCTCAGCTGGAGATCAGAGGGAAGCTTGGATTGGTCTGTTCAGTGAACCAGAAGTTAACAGAACTTGGTTCTGGTCTCTGCTTGGAATGAAGTTCAATGAAAGTGAGACCAAGTGGAACGATGGAGAACCATCTGATAATGAAACTGAGAACTGTGGGTATTTGATTGAAACTCCCAAATGGGGAGATGTGAGTTGCTCTACTACAAGATATTTCCTCTGCTACAATGGTGAGAATGCATGGCTAATTGCTTGCTATTTTTTTTCTTTAAATAACCACATAGTTTCTTTAGACACTTTGTTTTAGGTTCTAAATTAAATAAAGAAGCTCAGAAGGAATTTATGTGTGATGTGAATTTACCTAATTACTTCACAGAAACCAACACAACCCACAAATATCACTTGATTAAAGAGAGGAAGTCCTGGCAGGAAGCTCAGAGTTACTGCAGAGAGAAACACACAGACCTGATCAGTGGAACAAAGCAGATAGAGGATGAAGAAGTGAAGAAATTGATGGAGTCTACTAGCAGTAAACCATTCATTGGTCTGTTCAGAGACACCTGGAGGTGGTCAGATGGAAGCAGTTTCTCTTTCAGACACTGGAATAAAAACTTTAACAATCCAGAAACCATCAGAGGTCAATGTGCCGTTGCTGTGTTTTATGGTAAAGGCAGATGGAAGAATGTGAGCTGTGCTGAAAGAAAACCCTTCATCTGTTATGATGGTGAGTAATGCATGTGTGTGTGTGTGTGTGAGAGGCTGTTCATGTCAATAGTGATGCATAAAATCACATTTGAATCTATCAACATATATCCTACGTACCTTTGTGTTAATGTTTTTCAAAATTATTTATTAATTATCTTCATCCACATGTCTGGTTAAAAAAAATAATTTGAAAATGTTTCTTTGAAACCAAAGAAACATTTTTATTAACCTTTTTCTGACGTTACATAAATAAATGATGTTAACTGTTTTCTTATCTCCAACATGACAGATAAATTTATCCTGATCAAAGAAAATAAAACTTGGGAGGACGCCTTGACCTACTGCAGAGATCATCATGATGACCTGGTCACCATCACCAAGATGGATGATCAGAGATGGATCCAGGAGTATCCATGGTAAAGGCAGCATCGACTCCTTTTGTCTTGATTGGACTGCACTACGCCTGGACTCTACATTTCTGGTTTTCGGTCAGTGATGAGCTGGTCAGGTATGAAAACTGGGCCTCTTGTCCACAGATGGACGACTGTGATGTGTCTGGAGCCATGGAAACGAGAGGAGGACATAAGTTGGGAAAAAAACGACAGCGAGACGTTTAATTTCATCTGTTCTAAATACTGAAACAGTTTATCCGTTTCTTGCTGTTTTGCTCCAAGTTACTTTTGAATTCTCACAAACACATTTTGGACTATATATTACATAATGACCCTGAATGTAACGCGCATGGGTCATTAAAATGTATCCAATGCCAATTTAATAGCAATTTATTTTACCACAGTGTGATACAAAGTTGTAGCCCACTGTGTTGAGAAACAAATCATCCCTCTATAGGCTGCTCTGTCAGAACCAGCCAATCAGAGCAGAGGGGAGGGTCTTAGCCAGAGGTTGTGGTTGACTTCTTTTTGTTGTCCATCATTTCGACTGATGGCGTCAAAAATATTAATCATATTTTTACCCATCAATTTTTAAATAATACTAATGATATTAACAGGTTATTCAGTTGCATTAAATTCTATTTGGGTTAATCAATATTCAAGGAGAGAATCCAGATCCCGTCAACACATCCAGCAGATGAACACATTTTCTCTACAGAGACAAAACGTGTGACCCAAATAACTACATGTAATAATATATAGTTATCAATAATAATTTTATCTACCTAAATTATGAACGGTTCACCCGTTGTGGGCTGAACGCAAAGCCTCACAACTTCCTGCTTTTCCGCATCTGGAGGGGAAATCTGTGCTGGAGTTTAGATTGGACACAGTCTGCAAAGATTGTGTCTGAGCCAGATCCAACCCGACTGATTAACGTTTTAATCAGCCCTTGGTCCGAGGCTGAATTACACCCGACGTAATATTTTATTTAAAATTTTACTGATTTTGTTTTTATCTCACCATTTGAGTTTGCCAGCCTCCGCCATTTTTCTTTTGACTGCCATAATCTTCTCCATCTCTTCTCGACTCTGTACACCAGTGTACACTGAGTACGCTACTTCTTCTACTACACTGTTGATTAGTTAGAGCACTGCTGCCANTTGTTAATCCACAGTACTCAGCCACGCCCTTTACTCCTCCCAAACTCCAGCGGACTGACTACTGACCAGCTCTCCATCTCATGGGTCCGAAAAGCCTCTAATTCCTGGGTATTACCGCAATTAAGAATGTAGAGAACTTTTTGTTTAAGCTGGGATCGAGAAAGATTCGTCTAAGCTCTAACTACCTTCATCCAGACGTTATGACCCGCTTCAGTCTATGATTCAGACATCGGAGTAGCCCCGCCGGTGTCCGAGCTCATAAACCACGTCTGTTCACGGTAGCTCTTTCCCTGTCATTAACGTGCACTTGTTTCCGGCCTAGATAATTTTAGAGACTAGGAATAAGTCCCAGGGTCATTATTTATCTGAACTAAAGGACGTACGAAGCCACCCAATTTACTAGGACCATTAACATTGATTTCACATTAATCAGAAGAATTAAATCTAGTTGATTCAATTAATTTAACTGTCCACAACATCAATTAGACTTTAGTATTTTTATTAGCAAGCTTTAGCAGGGGAGAAAAGACATACAGCAATTAACAAAGGATTAAGTAATCAATAGATTTAAGAAAATTTAGACATTTCACCTAATTCTAAACCCTACACTGTGTCTTACTCTAAGCAGAGGCTTTGGGGGAGGCAGTATTACTCAAACCCAGATGCAGAGACGTTCCTTGGCAGCAGAAAACTTTAACGTCCATGGATGGAGTCCTGTCTTTGTCTTGGCAGAATCCTTTTAGAATAGATCCAAAGTTGAACTGGTGAGAATCCTCAATGAACTCAGTTCTTAATCCACAAAAGATCTTTGTCTATTCCCCATGTCCACTGCAGCATCGTTGTAATCCTTTGGGTTGAGTGTGGGGCCGCAGTCGAATCAGAATCCCGGGTTGTGGGTAAATGGATCTTGTTCCTTCCTTGTGCAGCGAGCAGTCGTCCCGGGGTATCATCACGCAGCCCTCCGTTGATTCTGCATCTCCGTTTGCTCGACTCGAACGCCGCGGAACAAAGAACCTCGATTCTGCGTTTGCATATATTTTTATACTGCATATTCTGCACGTCCGGTGCGTACTTTCCTTGACGTCAAGTGCCTTCAGTTAGCCTCAACCTTTCTTCCACTCAACTTTTAACCTTCCTTTTTCTTTAAAACTCAAAGATCAACAACTCAAAACACCTGGTGCAGATATAGTCTCAAAATCTCACTTCCTCTTTCTTCCGTGCTTAAAATTCTTTCACCCCTGCAGTCTATATTTGTGACACAGTATCAGACACTTTTTACTCTTTACTCTTCAACCTCATACAGTAGTTAAAGAAATGATTATATGTATTTTACTCATCTTTAAAACATAATAAATTCATTTTGCATTTAAAAACAAAGATTACATGTTTTTCAATCAACATTAAGTCATAATACAAGATTACTAGTAGCTCCAGGCTTTTGTGACCTGTTTTCTGTGTGTTCTGGAAAGATCTCAACTAGTTCCAGCCAGGTTTCATGACATATGTTATAACATTCACCGGCAAAGTTTACACAGGTGGTAAAGACTATTATTTATAGTCTTTCACTCTGTCAAAAGTAAGATACATCCTAAATCTTCCGCTTTTGTTTTGAAAATTTCCTAAAGACACAATGTGAGGAAGAAGAGGGAGATATCTATAAAGAGAGACGGATTCACTGCAGCATGGATGAATCTCACATCGGATTTTGGACTCGTCGGCTGAAAAAAAAAAAAAAATTCCCCTCTCACCCTCTGTGGGTGGTCTCTTTCATCCTCTGAGCTCGGGTCCTCTACCAGAGGCCTGGGAGCTTGAGGGTTCTGCGCAGTATCTTGGCTGTGCCTAGAACTGCACATTTCTGGACTGAGATG